AAAAAACAACATTAACCTATACTGAACCACCAGGGGGAAAATTAAATATTAAAATCTAAGCAGCTTCTTAAATTTTAATGATAAAAATAACATCTAGATCTTTTTAGAAACTCCTAAATTTAGACATTTCGTATTCATTTCTTCAGCTGATCCTCACAACTCTCCTCAATGGAGAATTCCTGGATCATATCATACTTTTAAGATCCCATGATTTCCTAGGTTCAACTGGATTAACTGCTTCAATCAAGCTATTAAACTCCATAGTATAATCTAGAAAAGCACTTTAGCCAGCTTCCCAACACAACTGTAAGGCTGTCATTAGATCATAGTGTGTTCTGAAATAGTGCTTTAGATCAAAGTTTACAGGACATATTAGTTTTCCCATCTACATATATCTATTTTATTTTGTGAGATGAGTTGCAATTCCCTTAACAGCACTCTTCTCACTTCATCCTTTGCTAGTTTCTGTACTCCTCCTCCCCTGCCTTCTGAGACTTATTTGATGCAAATGCTGCCCTTTTAGGACACACTACACATAGCAAACAATTGGTCTGTGTTCATCCTTCCCAAGTATTGCTGTTCACCAATTAGGCTTTTCCACTATTTAGCAGAAAGGCGGTCCCTGGGGGGTCGGTTCAGTTCCATGTTTGAAGGGTGTTTGGAGTAAGTGAAGTCAGCTGACATAAAGGCACCAAAGAACAAACTATCATAATCTCAGGAATTCTCATCAGACTATCAGACCACTAAGTCTGGTTTGTGGTGGCTTTTACTAATTTTGTTCTGCATTATTCTCCCTCTTCACCCTGACCATACACTGTATCACACAGGTTTTGAAGGAGAAACAAGAATTTAACACACTTCTAAAAAAATAAATAAAATTTCACACACTTCTAATTGTCGCATCATTTTTATTAAATGAAACTGAAGTTGCCAAACTTTTACTCTGAAAACTGAACAAGTTCTATGCATACATACATACGTGCATAAACATAAATGTAAAATAATTTGTAACATTATGCGCTAAGCACATAAAGGTACAAAGCAGCAACAGTACGCAAATTAAGAAAGTATGTCCTTCTCAACCCCAAAAAAGGCCTGGCCCAGACAGCTTCACCAGTGAATTCTATCAAACATTCAGAGAAGTTATTGTTAGGTGGGTCAGCCACAATTCATACCAGACCTATGAAGAATACATCTGAACCTTTCCCTATTGTGTACCATCGTCATCATTGATGTACTTGAGACCACTGTTATAGTCACTGTGTCAATTCATCTTGTCAAGGGTCTTCCTCTCTTTCATTGATTCTTCATCTTCCCAAGCATGACGTCTTTTTCCAAGGACTGGCCCCTTCTAACAACATGCCCAAAGTATGTGAGACAAGAGTTTAACCATCCTTGCCTCTAAGAAGCACTATGGCCTCACTGTCTCCAGGACAGATCTGTTTGTTCTCTTGGCAGTCCATGGGATATTCAGTACTTTCCCCCAGCACTACAACTCAAAGAACTTGAAGTTCTTCTCCTGTCAGCCTTATTCATTGTCTAACTTCAGATGCATAAAAGTAATTGAAAAGATCATGGCTTGGCTCAAAATACACCTAGGTGAGTATTTAAACTGACATCCTTGTTCTTTAGCACTTTGGAGAAATACTTGACAGCAGATTTTCTCAGTGCAACACATCTTTTAATGACCAATTTAATTCATTATTTTGTGATGAATCAGTTCAAATTTTCTGTCTATATTAGTTTAAGAAAATAATGGGTTTCTAAAATTTTGACCATTTCTTCTAGTTTTTAAATTTTGTTATAGTTTTCATCATATTCGGCTCATATCCTTTTTTATTATAGTTGGTTCTGATGTAACATTACCTATTACATTCCTTGAGTTCTGTCTTTTTCCTTTGTTAGATTTACTCAAGGCTTGTCAATTTTATGAATCCTTTCAAAGAACTAACCTCTAGTCTTATTAACTCTATTGCTTTTCTGGGTTTTTATTTCATTTATTTCTGCTATTTAATATTTCCTTTTTTTCTGGATACTGTAGACTTTGCTTGCTGTTATTTTCCTAATTGTCATAGATTTTATGCTTTTAAAGTGTTGATTTTTATGCTTTGAAATGGTTCTTATTCTTGATTTTGGTTCTTATTCTTTTTTATTATATGTATTTTTAATGCTATAAATTGACCTCTGAGTAATGCTTTTGCTGTGTCCTCAAGATTTTGGGATGTCTGGTTTTTACTCTCATTTGCTTCTTGAAATTTTAAAATTTATTTTTATCTTTTTCCTATTACTCAATAGTGTTGAAACAGGGTGTTATGTTATGAATTTTCCATATGCATGATTTTCTCCCGTCTTGATCACCCAGATGTCTATCTTGTAATGTTATAGTAATGTGATCTGATAGCATGCTTTGTAGTATTTAAATTTTTTAAAAAATTGTTGAGGCTTGCTTTGTGACCTACTATATGGTTTATCCCAGAGAATGTTCCACTGGAAAATGAAAATGGAAAATATGCACTGGAAAAGAATGTATACTGTGCTCTTGTTGGGTGTAGTGTTCTACACATGTTTATGAGAGATCTAGTTGGTTAACTGTCTTGTTTAATTCTATTCTTTTTTTTCCTCTCATTTATTTCTAGTTGCTCTGTCTTTGAAAGTGATGCAATGAATCTGCTACTATTAGGGAGTTTTGGTGACAAAGTCCATAGAAAGTTGTGCTGCTCACCTAAAAGTAGTACTTCACTGGTGGTTAGAATCCACCAGGAGCTCCAAGGGAGAATGGGCTTTCTCCTCCAGAGAGACTTACAGCCTCTGAAAACCTGCCTCCTGGAGGGTCAGCTCTGACTAGGTTCCAACTCAAGTGCAATGACTTTATTATTATTGTAGAGTTCTACAATTTTCTCTTCAAATATGTTAAAGTTTGTTTTATGCATCTTGCAGCTCTGTCATTGGATGTAATCAGAACTATGTCCTCTTCTTCAACTGATCATTTGATTATTATATAATGCTTTTCTGTTTTATGCTAGTTTTTGTCTTGAAGTCTATTTTATCAGAAATTATTGTCCCCACTCTTTTTTAAATTGTCATTTGGCTGATCATTTCCCTCCTATTTGATTTTTAGATTATTTTTATCCTTTCATCTAAGATTTGTAGCTAGCATACTAACAAGTCATGCTTTCTTATCCTCTCTGCTTCTCTTTTTCTCTTGACTGGTGTATTTAATTCATTCACAGTCAGTGTAATTATTAGCAGTATGGTTTTATAGCTATCCATTTTGCTGCATTCTGTTTTGGGGAATTTTGGATTTTTTTTGTTCTATATGCTTTACTGCGCTGAGTTCACTTTAAGAATAAGAGTTTTCTTGGGGAGCTCTGGTGGCCTAGTGGCAAGGAGATGCAACTACAATCCCAGAGGCGCACGGTTCAAATCCACCAGATGCTCTGCCGGGGAAGGAGGGACAATCTCCTCCTGTACCAGTCAGATCTGATTTGACGGTACACTCACACATACAAGTAATAAAATGAAAATTTTAAAAAAAAAATCACTGCGAATTATACTGAACCATTCAGTTTACAGAACAAATGTCGGAGGGCACAGAAAAGTGTGTAGGGCGAGGGTGACATGGTCGAGACCTTGGGGTCTCATGGCTCTCAAGTCAGAACCGATACAGTAGACCCTCCAAGTGTAAATCACTATGGAAAAGACTGCCCATCTTTCTCGCGCTGAGCCGCGAGGCGTGGCTTTTGAGTAAATAAAAAACTACCCAGGGAGTAGGTCATCGGAGCTCGCTAAACCTCAGGTGACTCTTCTGAACACTACAATAGATAATGGTTCAGAGGAGTACGAGGGAGTTAAACAAACCTCTCTATCTGGTCTTCAACTCCAAGTTTATTTAATACAATAAACTTGGGCTAATGGTTTTCTTCTACGTACGTTTGTTCTTTCGCAAATTTTAACAGCAGGACCTCATATTTATGATTATGTTAAAAGCCCATAAAACGCATACCAAACTTTGTATTACGATTCAAAAAATGGTCATCGTCAATCTCCATCCTTTGAACTAGGAAATTTGCATGATTAGTAATATGAAGAATTTTTAAAAAAACCAAAAACTAAAACTGTTAACTTCGAAAAACCCCCTCATCATTCCTTGGAGTAAAGACTGGAAAGCCAAAAGTGAAACGCCAGCAAAACGTCAACCTACACGCTTCCTGCCGCAGAACTGGAGAGGAACGCACAGACCAGTCGCGCCTAGATAAACAAATGCCGAGGCGCCGCCCTCGCCTCTAGGGGCAGGGAGGGTGGAGGTGACTCTGGACTGGGGTTCCACTGTGGCGGGAGGGATGCGCTTGGACGCAACTAAGGGCCCTAGCCGACTTAACCTGTCCTGAGCACCTGGGGTTCCCGGGAAAACCCCAACCCTGACTTTCTCACCTCCACCAGCTGACAATTCCCAGGAACAAAGTGGATGGAGAGCTCCTTCTCCCTTCCGACCATGCCCGCCGTCTTTGCGCCGCCGACAAACAGGGAAACCCACTTGCACCAGCTTACGATCGCGGGCTGCAACAGCGCCAACACCACGGCCCGCCTCTTTAGGCCTAGACTAGCCCCCCAGCTGGCCTCTTCCGGCTTCCGTTGTCAGTAGCTTGCCCACTGATTGGGCACGCTCAGCCGACTCCGCAGAAAGAAGGCGGGCCCATCTAGGACGCTCTCCGCCCACGCGCCAACTCTTAAAGGGATACACGAAACAAGGGCCCGTGACCTTAGCTGTGAAGAGTCAATTTTTGTTTGGAACAGTATTTTTTTGGTGCATTATTCTTATTGCTTTTTTCTTTTGGCTGGAGAACGATTGAATTTCGGTGGGTTGGATTGCCAATTATTCCAAGTTGCCAAACCTTTGAAGTGGATGAGAGGAGAGCGACATCAGGTATCTGCACCTAGAGCATTAGGTTTGGTTGAGATAGTGGGGCGGGAAAGTGGGAACCCAGGGAATAAAAATAAATGTGTCATTAACTGAGTCATTAGCACCTCAGGGATCCATTTGTCTTTCTGGGACACTAAAAGGTATTGTGTGAAATTTCATAAATATCCCTCTTATACACACACACCCTCCTTTGAAGACTTGTTGCATTTTTTTCCTGCAGAACTTTTTTAACTACTGAAAAATGATGCGTGGAGGAGAGAGGTGGCTTTGCATACGTCTTCAAAACGCTTTCTTGGACTTTGCTCCAAAATTACAGAATGAAAATCTTTGGGAGTAGACCCCAAGAGTCAATATTTTAGAAGGTTCAACAAAGGTCAAGACTGCAACTTAGGGGATGCAACTTTAGATCACAAGGCCGGGCCGGGACTGGCACCGAAAATTAAAGGAACCAAGGAGTGATTAATACTCCTCGCTCTACCACCATATTCCTTTTTAAATTAATAATTCGAAAACAGCTGTCTTAAAGGGTTGAAGTCTATCCAGGACATAATTGATTACCATTTCAAATCCACAGAAATTTCCCGTCAGTAAAGCTGCTTAGGAAACTTTGCAGGGAGTGAAAAAACAAGAGAAAAACAGACCAGCTTCTCAGCGCACAGCCAACGAGTCCCTGAGCTGACCTACAAGATCTGAGATCTAAAAGCCGCTTACCAATCTACTGCTTGCATTTTCTAAGGCACTGTTTTCATAATCTTTTGCTCGGTTTATCTTAAATACTGAGCAGGGTGGGTTTTTTTTTAAGTTTTTCTGTGTTTGAAAATCATAGAAGGAACTTTGTTCCTTCCTACCCAACCCCCACCAAAAAGTCCATTTCCTTATTCCTGTAAACCTAGTTTCTTTGGGATAGTCCGAGTCCAAGTCCTCTGAATATTTTAATTATTTGTTCAAATCCAAGTTGATATTGTTAATTTACCGTTATTTAGGAAGTCCTTGACAAACCTGTCCCAGTACTAAACATGAACAATCTGCAAGATAAGGAAGACTGTACTGGGGAGAAAGGGAAGAGGAAAGATAAAAATTGTAATTTTCCTCTTTTAAAGAAAAGTATGAATTTTAATTCCTTTTTATTTGTAGCATGCTACTTAGTCTAGCCTTTCTAGAAAAATAAGGAACTAAGAGCTCAAAATTAACTTTTAAAGGCATACATACACAATTAGCAATTTGATTCTCAACGCATCTTGTCAAGTGTGGGAACAAAAAGAATCTCTTGCCTGCATTTAATCTAGATTTGGATACTAGTCAAAAAAGTTTGGCATACCTCTGGAAGCATATATCCATCTATGGTTTTAAATCATTCTCTTTAATGATAAAATAAGTAAGAGACAGTTGTTATACAAACAGTACCCAAGTTCGTACCTTAAGTCTACAAATTAAAGAGAAAGAAAAGGTCTATTGGCAGATACAGTTCATGACAAGAAAAAGAAAGCCTGGGGCACATAACTAAATCAGTCTTTATACAGAACCTTCACATGTACTTAAAGTCAATGAAAATTTAAAAACAATAAAGTCAATGAAACTGCCATTCTGTTTTGCTTTCCTTTTTTAAATTGGTATGATTTAACTGAGATCACTCTTAAGTCAATGAAAAAGTTGGTTTAGTGCTCCGTGTCAGCAGGTTATTTATTCCTTTTACAAACCTCTCCTGCTTTTTCTGTTCATAGGAATTCTTTTAAAGTACCCTTAATAGTACTTTGTTTCTTGTATTGCTGGCTCTTACCTGTTCCATGTCCTCCGGCATTTCAGGCATGATTCCAAAATTATTTAAGGAATCCAGTGACGAATGGCTCTCCCTTTGCCTCTCTGCCTCCACACTGGGTCTTTGTCTCCTTTGTCTACCAAGAGCACTGGAGTCTCTAAACGTAACCGGCTGCTTTACTTGACCTTTTGAATTAGCATTTCTATTCCAATCCCAGCATCTCATGCAGTTTTCCACATGGCAGTAAACTGGCAGCTGATTCCTTGTGGCAGTCTTGAAAATATCCAATGAGAAGTTTCATATTTTATTGCCGGTCAAAGGGAGGGTCCACTAGCACAGTACAACCATTAGACAGAAGCAAAATATTCAAAGGAAAACAAAGAACTTTCCTGTCAAGACTTGTTGTGGTTTGTATTTTGGGTATTGGGTTGAAAGTTTCCAGAATACAGTCATTTTCCATTTGTTTGGTGGCACTGGTTAAAATCTCTTCCCTGTAATCCACTCTCCCCACCTTCTACCCTTTTCTCAGCTCTGCAATTTCTCAACTCCTTTCTTCCTTCTGGTCTTTGTTTTGGACAAACGCAGACCTTTTGGTCTTACATAGTTGATTTTCTCAGGAATATCTTTCTCCCTGGAGTTGTTATCTATCCACTTTATAGATCTGTTTATTGTTTGAAAGTTGATCCTCAGGTGGGGTCAGTTTAGTTCCAGGTTTAAGGGCTCTCTAAGATCAACAGCCTTGGGACTTCCACTGTTGTTGTTATGTGCCCTCCAGTCCAGTCTTTGCGACTCATAGCGACC